GCAAACAGCAACTAAAACTTACCAGTAACTTCTGAGGCATCATCTTCATCTCTTCGAGTCTGCTTCGACTTCGACTTGAAAAGCTTGGCTCTGATTGGTCAAATTGAATGTGGCTGAACTGAAAAAGACGTGCTGTTACACTTTGTGTCAAAAATACGACTGGCAAAGACAAGTAACGTTAATGTAATACAAATCTTACCTAGAATCACAACATAATGAGGTTCCAAATGTCACACGCCATGCAAACCTGAAGAAGCTGGGTAAAATCAATATGTTTCTCAAAACGCTACTTTTCACAAAGTTAATCACAGAACATATCACAGCCATTTAACGGCTCTGGAACCAATCAGGACTAGTCACGTGAATTATGCTATTGTTTGAATTTAAACAAGTACAAACTTTTTTTAACATCTCTGGAAAATGTATCTATGATCAATTTCAAATAATATGATGTTGAAATCCTTGTAGGAATTTTAGTAGTGCAAACGTAGCGTGGACAACAGCCTTTTAAGTAGCCTTTTACAAGTAGCCTACAAACAAGTAAAAGTGAACAACATTAATTTTAGGTATGCTTATTGCAATGCTTAATAATAGTTGACAAATGTTTCTAATACATTATAAGTTGGTACATTGTAAATTATTTTTTTATATTAAAAAGATAAATACATAAATATTTAAATTATATTGCAGTAGGCCTAAGTGTTTATAAACTTGTTAGAAATATATTAAAAGTTGTGTTTAGCATATTTCTTAATATATTTTTTTACCAATGTACTTATAAAGCACTTTTTAGAAATATGTTAAAAGTATGCTTGTTTTTCAATATACTTTTAGAAAATATACTAAAGTACAATTATTTTAAAGTGTGTTAAAAGTTATTTTGTAAAAATAGGTAAAAAGCATGATGCTAATATACTTTTAATATTTAAAGATAGTACATTTTTTTGTTAGTATATTTGCAATGTACTATTGTAAAAGGGAATATATTTCAAATACAATAAAGTATACTTTTTTTCACTTGGGCATGAACAGATGAGTAACGCACTATTAACACTTATAACAAATTTACTTTATAATTGAATTTTACTATTAACAATTAACGAATTAGTAAGTAATATCGCTCAGTTGAATGATGTATAGGTCACTACTATCTAATCAATAACTGTTTTTATTTTCATTCCTGCCATTCAGACTACTAAAAACTACCAAATACACGTAATTATGATTCATAATTAACATGAATAATGCATAATATATAAAAAAATAAAATAAAAGTGAAGATCATGGTAACCCACTAGTAATGACTCAATTACCAAATAAATCGGAATTAGGCTTCTACTATCCAAATCACTAAGTTGTTGTTATTTACTGCAAGTTTAATCCCCTAGATCAGTCGAATCCACAAATGAATATTATTTATTGTGAACCAGTTGATTTAAAAGAATCAGTTCAAAAAATTCGCTCTCGAAACGGTGATCTTGACTTAATATAGGCCTACTTAATAAAGTGAAATCATGTTTTTTTTTAAATGACATGCTCCTTCCTACACCAAATACAAACACATTTTCTATCATGTATGAGAGATGATGGAGCCAGTCGGGTGTCAATGGCGGGGAAAGAGTTAAAGTCCCCCTGTGGTAGAAATCAAGGTTTTAATGTTGTTTATGTGTCTATGTGGTGTTTTTAATATGCTTTAAGACCAACCATGCGCAAACCATGTGAGTCAACACCATTCCTGAGTATTTTCTTCTTAAAGACAGTCTCAAAAACACAGTTTGGAAAATGCCTTCATGATGTACTACTCGCTCATTATATACATTTTAAACACAAAAAAGTTACGGACTGCAGCTTTAACCTTGTAAACCATAAGTTGTAAATGTTATTAAATTACCATTAAGTTTATTCTTCTTTGTCTAATAAAAAGCCTACTGCTAATTTGTTTTTAAATGTTTACTAAAATGTTATTTTTGATCCACTGCAAGATTTTCTGAAGTATACAGCTAAATCATGACTATTTTTACAAACTTACTGCCTAAAGTTTGCATAACAGCATCATAAAATTAGGTTTTTAAAAATCCAAAAGATAATAATAAAAGACTTCCGCCGTTATAAGTGAATCAGTCTATCAGTTTGAATTGCACTTATCACAGTAACATACACATATCTTTAGATTTATTTTCTAGAAAATAATATAGTTTATGTGTTACAAAGCACATTTTCCTTGACGGATGCAAAGTAAAAAATAAAAAAAAGAAGAGAGGAGAAAGGTCCATATTCTACTAAGGTCGTGGTTCGGGCTTTTGTGAGGAGTTTGGCATATTATAGTACTTTATGACACTGAAATTACTTTTCTGAAAACATTTATAACAACAGACACCATGATGACACTTGTAAATCCTGCCGGCTTATAACCAGGAAGCTCACAGTTCAGAGAGACCGGCAGATAAACCCGGGATTGACTGTGTGTTCAAGCCAAGGCGCTTTTTTCCATCACGGTAATAATATTATAAAATACATACACATAAATGACACAAATAATTACATAACAACATAGACAATCACAGCACAGCAAAATATTCTTCAAGAATAGAACTAAAAGAAAATTTATAACGAAGAGATGATGTGAATAAGTGCATCATTACCGTTAAATCCCAGTAAAAAACTTGACAGTAAAAAAAAAAACACAAAAAAGCTGATCAGCATGCCATCTCAAATGCTTCATAAAAGGTTACAATGTTATAAGACATTTGTTAAAATAAAATACAAAGAAAAGCAATTCAATGTTTGCACATTTAACGAAGACAAAAACGTGCTTCATGATACAAAATGCATATAGATGTTTAACCAATAAACATATCTGTGAAACTTAATACCAGTAGAAGGCTTATGCAACAGTCAGTAATAATTATGGAAGATAATATATAAAAAATACATTACATAAACATACATTAGGCATTTTGTTGCTGCTTTCCTCCAGTCTCTTTCCTCAGTTTTACAGGTTCAGTTCCTGAGATTCAGAGTTTGATCAAGGACACAATGGTGATATTTCATGGATCAAACCTTGCACGATTTGAACCTTTTACACTTTAACCACAAAGATACGACACCACAAGCAAAGTGCTTCATAAACTTAAACATCTTCTGCTGAAAACACCAGTTTAGAGTAACATTAATGTCAGGAATAACATCATACTGGTGTTTTCATCAGGGATGTTCCTCTGTAGTGTTGTGAAGATGCTAATACTGAAATTGTAAATATAACATTATTGGTATATTCACTTGACCTGTGTGTTGTTTGACTGACAGCTTCTCCGTGAAGAGCATTTCTCTTTCAGTATGGAATTACTTGAAATTGTTCAAAATGTTAATCTTTGATAAAGTATTCATGTTCACAACCTGTTATAAATGAATGTAAACGTAAGCAGACGAAAAACCCTTGCAGGTCTTGCAGTGTAAATGTTGCTGTTATTAAAGTAACACCAGGTAACTTTTGCTCTCGGGGTCCCCCTACAGTTGGGAAACAGTATTGTCCTCTACTACTGTCGTAAACTCTGTCATCCTACATGCACGTGCATTTGTTGACAACCATGATAGCCCTGAACACTGTAGGAGGAGGTCACATGCAGGTGTTCTGCTTGCGTCGCGTGTGAAATGTCTTCATCCCAGGTACAGTGGCATATATTTCAGCATGTCATATGAATATAATTTGGGTTTTATTTTTTTTCTAACGACAAATGGTTACCGTTTTACTGAATCTATATGATACTTCAATGCAATGTTTGAGTGGTAGATAATAACCAAATTCGTCATCCGAAAAAATTGCGACAAGAATCCCGTTTGCCTCTGTAGCTATAAATAATCGCAAATTACACAATCAAGTAACTTTACACATGTAACAAATGAGAAGCTATGAACACAATGATAATATTAATAATCTTCCTCCTTTCTTTGTACATGTTGAGTAGAGTACACTTTTTAGGCTAAACATTTGCTATTTGCATTTCATCGATTGCAAAGTTCAAATCAGAACGAGAATGCTAGCGATAGCTAACCATCAAAAACTAGAATATCGTTTACTAGCTACCAGATTGATAATTCCCTATACTCTACTATCATTACTTGATTCACGAAGATAAACGGAGGATAAGATAGCTTCCGTAACGTAGTCAGGCAGACAAAAAAAAACCCAAAGAGATAGTATTCAAGCAATAAACTTACTAGTCCAAAAGCATGACAGCCAAGTCCGCATCGGTCGGGCACCCCTCCTCCTCCTTCAGCTCACGCCAGCGAGAAAACGCTGGCCCAATGTTGATCCTCGTTCTGCCTTTAACGCAATCACTTTCTCTTTATCTCTTTTTGCTTTGCTCCGATAAAACCTTTGCTTTCTTGTTTTTCTGTGCTGCTTCGGCAATGACTTTAAAATTTGGCTCGCACGTCCGATTTTAAAAAAGTGGGGGTGGGGGTGGAAGTGACGTATGCCGTAAAGCAGTCAAATTTTGTAGTTCTCTTTGTTCGCCGGTTACTACCCGAAACCCAAAGTTTAAAAGTACGATTAAAAACGCTACAGACCCCGTCAGGCTATGGCAGACGTGTCATTCAACCTATTGTAAGTCGATGTACCATCACAAGAGACTTGGAAATAGATTATGAAGGTTGAAAAGTTACCTAGTGCTCCTTTAAAGTCCCACTGAAGTGCCTTGAAACGCGCAGGTTTGTTTGACGCGTTGACGTAATTTCCACTGAAACAGGAGCTAAGGCGGGAAATATTGAATGGCTCCTCCCCCTTTTCAAATAGCCAATAGCATTTAGTTTACCTCACAGACTCCAAGTCGCACTTGGTAGCGAATCCGAGTGCTGATGATACGTTGGATTCAATAGTAGAGATAAATTCAAACTCACAACTCTAAGGCCGTGTGTCCACCAAAGCATTTTTAGCCAGCTGAAAACGCTAGACGCTCTGCTGAAGACGCCTAGCTTTGGGCGCTTGAGAGCGTTTTGGCAGCGCAGCGTTTTTCCGTTGAGACGTTTTGTTGCTATGATACAGAATATCCGCTGCACAGTTTACTTGTAACTGATTTCGCAGATAATTTGTTTCATACTAAAAAAATATTTTTTATCCATGTTGTTCGGTTAGCTCTGCTGGTTGATGTCGTTGTACAGAAAGAATGTTGTGACAGTTGGTCGGTGTGGTATTAGCCCCGCCCCTCCTCCTCTGTCATTGGACGGCTGGTGGCTGGTGACTGGTGACTGGTGACAGTGATGAGCGCTGCGTTTGACCAAAAGTTGAACATTTTTCAACTCTCGGCGACCAGTAAAAAACGCCGGGCGCTTGGCGCTTCAGCGTGAAAAAAACTCTCAGCGTCTCGTTATGCTCATGGCGTTTAAAAAACGCGGCACTCCCATTGAAAACAATTGAAAACATACACCAGGCGCGTGGAAAAAGGCTTTGGTGGACACACGGCCTAACCCATGTTTCTCCGTGACGTGTCAACGGTCGCTTTGGCCAGTTAGTGTTTATAGCGTAGGGGGCGGAGCTTTAGTTTTTAGAGAGCATTTGATGTGAGTACGTAAGTGAGAGACTGCAGTTTTGAATGCTTACATCTCATAAATGTGAATTTTGTCATTGTTTTGGAACACACTGATTTAATGATTACAGGGAAACAGAGAAATCACTTACTGTTTCTGTCTGAATCAATTTAGCAGCTTTAATAAACATTTAAATACCACGAAAATCCTCAAGCGCTCTTTGTCCTGTTGGAGGTAATGTTCTTCTTTGTTTCTTACTAATTAACCGTTTGCCTTTTCTGAAGCAATGTTTGCATATTGTAAAATATATTTAGGCTACTTAATATTTAAAAACTAAAAAACGAACTACTTTGAATTAGTTCAAATTGGTGTAAAGGTGAATTTTCACTAGTATTGGTGCCAACACATGAAATCTTGGTAATGTGACACTCTTTCTCTGTGAGCGATGTGAGTTATACATAAATATTAGGGATGAGTCGCGATCTTCGAATAGTCGAATAGTCGAACTGCGTTGGAAATTCGATCATAAAATTGCTTATTCGAATATCGTTATATTCTCGCACAATTCCAATGTGACATAATTGACGGCGCGCCTACTGTCACAGATCGCGCAGTAGCCTAGTATTTTCCTGTCAGGGACACAAGGTGTCACTAACATGAATGAAACCCCCTCCTGCGCGATCTAGGATACCAGCGTTTTATACATAGTGTAAACAAACAACAGAAGAAGAGCATTGTCGTGACCGTTAACTCTGCGCCCAACAGAGGTGGGTAGTAGACTAACCTTTACTGTCTACTGTCTATGTGGAGCTAGAGTGCACTAAGGTTGGCCTTAGGGTAAATGCAAAGAAAACTGAGGTCATGACCTACAACGTACCACCGGAACATCAACCTCTGATAACAGTAGGAGACACTGTGCTGAAAGAAGTTGAGGACTTTAAGTACCTGGGCGCATGGGTCAACTCAACTGAGCAAGATCTAAAAGTGAGGAAGGCACTTGCATGGAGGGCCCTGAACGGCATGAACAGTGTATGGAATTCCAACCTCTCCCGCCAAATAAAACTCCTCTTCGCTTCTTCTTCGCTTCTTCTACGCGACAGTAGAGTCTGTTCTCCTCTATGGCAGTGAATGCTGGACCCTGAATCCAACCCTAGAGAAGTCCCTGGACGGGTGCTACACCAGGATGCTGCGTGCAGTGCTTAATATCAGTAAGAGTGTGCATGTAACCAACAAAATCCTGTATGAGGGAATATCAAGAGTGAGCAACAAGATTGCTGTGAGGAGAATGAGACTTGCAGGACATTGCCGAAGGCATCGCGAGCTGCCAGCCATCAAGCTGGTGCTATGGGAACCAACACATGGCCATCGGTCAAGAGGACGTCCCACGCTAACATACTTGGACATACTTAAGAGGGATACAGGAGCCCAGAGCACCAACGAACTGGCCGGATGCATGGAGAATCGGGATGCCTGGAGGCAACGATGGAAGGCTCGTCTGAGGACGACTTAGAGAGAGAGTCTATAGTAACCGTCTATGGTAGTAACAAAGTAGGCTACATTTACTTCACTACGTTGGGCGACGTTCCTTTCGTTACTTTATTTTAATGCAATACATGTTGTTAAATGCGTAGTTTATTCCAAGCGCGCTGTATCTTTTTTATGGGCATGAGCGATGCTCCATTCACAAATGAATCACTCTTTTGAGTCGATTCTGTTCAAAGACTTCATCAAACAAGTTGGCAGATCTGTCTAAATCGGTTCGCGAATCAGTTTGAATGATCTGTTCAGTTTCCTCACGCACTGAATCGTCTGAAGCGCTTTCAATTCACACTCGACACGGAGTCGTAACAGGAAGATTTAAGAAGATCAAGAGCGTTGGATGAAGTGGCCGTGGACCTACAGTACAGTCTAGTGAAAGCAAATCTGCAAATGCTTCATATTTTTGCCAGCGATGAAGATCTAGTTGAACATCTTCATATGATACTGTGAATGAATGATTCCACAGGACGATACATTCTAGTTCATTTCATTCAGGTAATACATTTTACAACCAAACAGATTATTACTCGACGATAGCACTACACGTATGATGACATTATCTGTTTTTTGGACATATACATTCATTTATAGGCTACATTAAATAAGCTACCATTGTCCACAGTTTATGAAATGAACACCCGCCATCCCGCGGTAATGTGTGTGTATTGCGCAGTGGTATCACACGAATAGTTTTGATTGAAACTAATTTGTTTAAAAAGTAGGCTTTTGCAGTAACAAGGCAGGTTTGCATAAAATCATTATGACATTTTTTTTTAAAATCTAACGAGCATCTGGTTTGGCGATGTAAAATTGGACTGTCGTGCTTATTGTTTTTTTTGTATTCTATGTTAACTACCGGTATTTAAAAAAACAACGAAAACATGTTAATTGTTCGAATAATAAACAGTATTTTTGATGATAAATCGCTAAAGATGAAATTGGCCTCCCTTTCTGTCATTGTGCGTTTTTTTCGTGTCATCTTTTTTTTCGATTTTCTAACGATAATCGACTTTTGCTCCTCGATTTTCGAATGGCATTTTTGGCAGAAATTCACATCCCTAATAAATATAAATATATATATATAATATAATAAGAGTTATGAAGGCGTTTCATTGGCCGCCTCAGCCTCAGTCTGATGAAGGTTCGAGTCACTGAGATTCTTCATCAAAAAAGTGTCTCTCTGATCAGGGGACGAGTCTTCAGCTCCACTCGCCTGTATATAAAAACACACAGATTCACAGAAGGAAAAAGAATTAGGCTTAGAATTACAAAAAATAACAAAATATCCTATAATGTAGGATGTTTCTCTTCACATGTGTTAAAATAATTAATCTTTCCTAAACAACCTGTACGTTTAAATGCTTGAAATATTATGTGAACAAATTATTCTAATTATATAATAATATAAAATGTAAATCACACACAAACATTTCATCAGCTGACAGATGTGAGTTTTGCAGTCACACAGATTCAGGTCATGTAGTTTCTCACCTGTTCACTGCGCTCCGTCCTGTTAGCTTTTGGAGGAAAAACAACAAACTCAATTAAACATTACTTTGGTTAGAGTAACAAATAGAGAATTATAACATCTTTTAAAGATGTTTTTAAATGTCATATTTCAATCTTATTAAATCATTTGTATTTTACACTCACCTTTCCTTCTTGCTCTGCGCTTGCAACAGCAAATCACAGCAACAATCAGCAGAATGGCAATAACACCAGCAGAAACAGAAACAGCAACAGCTACATATAGTCCTGTCAGGAATGGAGTCGGATCTGAACCTGAATCTTGATCTAGAAGAGCTAAAGACAGTCATTGTTATTTACAAAGTGACTTATAAATCAACTTCAACAGTATTTTTGTCTGATATCTATTTCTACACGTTTCTACTTTGGTCATCAGTTGTATGATGTTGATTTAACTGGTGAATGGCTCCATCTTGTGTGTTTTTGAAGAACTAGCAGCTAAAACAGCATCAAGCACTGGAAACGTCTCGGTTACGGATGTAACCCTCGTTCCCTGAGTAGGGAACGGAGACGTTCCGTCGGATGACGACGAATGGGATTTTCGCTTAGAAAGCCTATCAGCTTCAAACAATATAAAACGAGCCAATGGCAAAGAAATGCCATGGGTCTGCGGAATTTGCATAGCGTAACACCGCCTCACCTCGTGGGTATTTAAGGAGAACGCTGGCAGCAAATAGGCATGTTTTCTTCGCTGAGGAGCCAAGACTGAGCTCAGGCGATCCCCGCGGTACAGCGGAAGTGGCAGGCAGACGGAACGTCTCCGTTCCCTACTCAGGGAACGAGGGTTACATCCGTAACCGAGACGTTCCCTTTCGTTGTCACTCCGAGTTCCGTCGGATGACGACGAATGGGATTTACCAGTCTAATCACGCCACCTTCCCAGCTGTCTTCCAGTGCCCTGCGTAAATCTGAGATCCCTGTCGTGAGACTAGCACGGACGAAGGACTCCTATTTAACACAGGAATACCAAGGTACACTGGGGAGCATATCCCAGATCTTTTAGGGAAGTATGCAATTACTGCCAACCCAGAGGGGGGGACTTAAGAATACACATATGACCCGAGGGATGCATATGGGGAATCACTGGGGTGTCCAGCCGCAGGTGGAATATTTCAACCCCAGGGGTGGCAAGGTGGCTTGCCAAGGGAAAGACACATGCTCAGAGAGGCTTACAGTGGGAATACACATGTGGGGGTAGCTCCGGGAGGTACCATGCACACGGGAGGCACCTAGCCGACGCGCAGGCAAGAGACACTGGCGCCGACGTCAGGAGTGCTGGAGGAACTCAGGGCTTTCGGAGAAGCTCACCTGAGGAGAATATCGCACGTATCCAGTCCGTAGAGTGGAATGGCGAGCAAGCGAAGACACCTGAGCGGGTCCGGTACTAGCTGGTTGAAGCGAGTACATGAGAGGACACAGGCTCCACTCGGAGATTGTAGAATCTGGCGAATGTGTTAGGTGTCGCCCAGCCTGCAGCTCTGCAGATGTCTGTTAGCGAGGCGCCATGCGCTAGAGCCCAAGAGGATGCCACACTCCGGGTGGAGTGGGCAGTCACACCAAGGGGGCACGGTCGACCTTGCTGCTGGTATGCCAAAGCAATGGCGTCCACTATCCAGTGAGATAACCTTTGCTTGGAGAGAGCCTTTCCCTTCAGCTTCCCACCATAACAGACAAAGAGCTGGTCTGAGGTCCTGAAACACTGCGTTCTGTCTACATAGATGCGAAGAGCACGTACTGGACAGAGCAGTGCCAAGGCTGGGTCTGCCTCCTCCGGGGGCAGCGCTTGCAGGTTCACCACCTGGTCCCGGAAGGGAGTGGTAGGAACCTTAGGCACATATCCAGGCCGGGGTCTCAGGATCACGTGAGAGTACGCCGGCCCGAATTCCAGGCACGCTTCGTCAACGGAGAATGCGTGCAGGTCCCCTACCCTCTTGATGGAGGCCAATGCAGTCAGAAGCGTCGTCTTCATTGACAGGAAGTTAAGCTCGACTGACTGTAAAGGCTCAAAGGGAGCACTACGCAGGGCAGTTAAGACCACTGCGAGGTCCCAAGAGGGTACGAGAGGAGGGCGAGGAGGATTCAGTCTCCTCGCTCCTCTCAGGAACCTGACGATCAGGTCATGCTTCCCCACCGACTTACCTTCTATAAGATCATGCTGTGCGGCAATAGCGGCGACATAGACCTTGAGGGTGGAGGGAGACAGCCTTCGCTCCAACCCCTCTTGAAGGAAGGAAAGCACGACGTTGATCGAACATCTCCGGGGGTCTTCTCGGTGAGAAGAGCACCAGTTGACGAAGAGGTTCCACTTCAACGCGTAGACGTGTCTCGTGGACGACGCTCTAGCGGAAGTGATGGTAGCCACCACCGCTGGTGGTAGGGTACTCAAACCTGCCTTGTCCCGTCCAGGAGCCACACATGGAGGTTCCAAAGATCGGGACGAGGGTGCCATAGGGTGCCCCGTCCCTGAGAAAGTAGGTCCTTCCTCTGAGGTATGGGCCAAGGAGATGCTGTCGCGAGGAGTACAAGTTCGGAGAACCAGGTCCGGGTGGGCCAGTACGGCGCTACCAAGGTGACCTGCTCCTCGTCCTCCCTGACCTTGCGCAGGGTCTGCCGTGAGAGCTCGTCGGCTGCACAGTTCAGAGCTCCTGGAATATAGATGGCACGAAGCGACCTCAGATGCTTCTGACTCCAAAATAGGAGGTGGCGGGCGAGTTGCGACATACGGCGAGAGCGCAGACCACCTTGACGGTTGATGTACGCTACAGTCGCGGTATTGTCTGATCGGACTAGTACATGCTGGCCCGAGAGCACGGCTCGGAAGCGGCGCAGGGCGAGCTGTACAGCCAGCAACTCGAGGCAATTGACGTGCCAAAGGCGGTGGGGTCCTGTCCAGGAGCCCGCGGCAGCACGTCCATTGCACATGGCACCCCAGCCCGTGGCGGAGGCATCTGTTGTTACAACAATGTGCCGGGAAGCTCGTTCCAGGGGCACACCGGCCCGTAGAAAACTGAGGTTCGACCACGGGGTGAAGGTCTGACGGCAGGTCGGAGTAACTGGTACTCGGAGAGTGCCGTGTTGCCATGCCCACCTCGGGACTCGGTCGCGAAGCCAAAGCTGAAGCGGTCTCATATGAAGTAATCCGAGCGGTGTTGCCACGGCTGCGGATGCCATATGCCCCAGGAGCCTCTGAAAAAGTTTCAGTGGAACCGCACTCTTGCCCTCGAACTGTCTCAGGCAAGTCAGCAGTGACTGCGCGCGCTCGCTCGTAAACTGCGCGGACATGGCGACCGAGTCGATCTCCATACCGAGAAAAGAGATCCTCTGCACGGGGAAAAGTTACTCTTCTCCCAGTTGACCCGAAGGCCCAGACGAGCTACATGGCGGAGCACCAAGTCCCTGTGTTCGCATAGCTGGTCTCGAGAGTGAGCTAGGATTAGCCAGTCGTCGAGATAGTTCAGAATGCGAACCCCGTGTTCCCGGAGGGGAACAAGGGCTGCCTCGACGACCTTCGTGAAGACGCGAGGAGACAGGGCTAGCCCGAATGGGAGAACTGCGTACTGATATGCCTGTCCCTCGAAAGCAAACCGCAGGAACGGTCTGTGTCGAGGGAGGATGGAGACATGAAAGTAGGCGTCCTTCAGGTCGATCGCTGCAAACCAATCCTGGTGCCGCACACATTCGAAAACGCGTTTGGCGGTGAGCATCTTGAACGGCAGCCTGTGAGGGGAGCGGTTCAGAACGCGCAGGTCCAGGATTGGCCGTAACCCACCGGTTTTCTTCGGGACAATGAAATACGGGCTGTAGAAGCCGGTCTTCATTTCGGCTGGAGGGACAGTCTCGATCGCACCCTTCGCCAGCAGGGTAGCAACCTCCGCTCTCATGATAGGGGCATTGCCACCGACCATAATGGAGCGGACTCCCCTGAAGCGGGGAGGAGACCGCGCAAACTGAATCGCGTAGCCGAGCCTGATCGTTCGTGCGACCCAGCGGGACAGTTTGGGAAGCTCTAGCCAGGCTCCCAAGGACTGAACCAGCGGGGTCATGCGAACCACAGACTTCCCGTCGGTGGGGCAGCGAGGCGGTATGGCTGACCCAGACGTGGACGGCATAGCGGCCCGGTGTGGGGGTACAGCCATGGACCGCGTCCTGACAGAGGAGACCAGGGAAGGACGAACGTTCCACGGGGGTCTGCTCTGCCAGGGGTCTGGCGACAGAGGAGGATGAGAGCGGCACGGTCCGTGGACGGCGCGCACTGTCATCCGGCTCTGGGACAGAGGAGGACGAGGGGTGCACGGCCCGGGGGCGGCGCACCGTGTCGTCCGAGAACTCTGTGTGCTCAGAGACGGGAGAGTCAGTTCTTTCTGAATAAGGATTCTTCCCTGGCCCTCCACCAGGGAAAGGAGTGGCCCTGCTACCAGCTCCTGGAAAGAACTGAGTCCCACCTCTGAAGAGCCCATCTCAAGAGCGCCGCTTAACCCGGCGTATAGCGGGGGGCGGGGCTGGAGAGGACTGTGGCGTCCCCCTGCGGCCTCCAGAGCCAGCCCGGGTGAACGGGCGGGGTGGAAGCCGCAGGAGGACGCCTTCGGCGGTGGGCAGACTGAGGGATCTGAGCGGACGGCGGGCCGTCGGGGCAGAATAAGCCTCAGTCTGCTCGTGGGCGGTTGAGAACTGTTGGGCAAAGCCCTCAACCGCACCGCCGAGGAGGCCGACCTGGGATATGGGGGTGTCAAGCAGATGGGTCCGCCCGACATCCTGCACATCGGACAGGTTCAGCCACAGACTGGTGGACATCACCTAACCCAGGGAGCGTACGGCCACTTTCGTCGCTCGGAGAGCAAGGTCAGTGGCGGCGCGCAGCTCATTGAAGAGCCCTGGGTCAGTCCCGCCCTCGTGCATATCCGTGAGCATCTGGGTCTGGTAGACCAGCAGAATGGCCATGGCATGCAGTGAGGCAGCTGCCTGTCCTGTAGCGCTATAGGAATTCGCCACAAGTGTAGACGAAAACTACAGGCTTCGGACGGGTGCTTAGGATCGCGCCGAGAGGAAGCACTCTGAGGACACAGTAGCATCGCAACAGAGCGTTCAACCGGGGGGACCCCAGTGTACCCATGGGCAGCGGCCTCGTCGAGGGAAGGAAGGGCGGAGGAGATCAACGAGGGATCGCTGGAAGACATGGGGGGTCTTCGAGGATTTCGAGATCTCCTGATGCACATCCGGGAGAAAGGCATTGGAGTGGACGCCGACATGAGCCAGCGGCCACACCCAAAAACCAATCGCCCCGGGAAAGCATGGCCGTCATCTCAGGATCTGACTCAACAAATGCCATATGCACACCCGAAAGTGGCAGCACTGTTGAATCTTCACTTCCTGAAGATTCTAGCCCGCCCTGTGATGCTGCAATGGACAACAGATCCGATTCTGGAGCGTCAAGGGAAACCCGCGGGACATCCGAAAATAGACCCGGGGAATCCCCTGAACACTCGCGGGTTGCGTCACTGAAGAGGGGGGCGTGGTCCACGGACAAACAGTCGGCGGATTTGTTCCACACTCACACCCTCAGGTCACCCTGGCCACCAGCCGAAGTAGCACCTCACGTGGAGAGTGTTAGATCGGGGTGTGGATGAGGGGACTCTCTCTCTAACGAGATCATTGAGTCTCGACCGTAATGACACGATGATCACGTTCCCGCGAGGAGAACGTGAGTCATCCACAAACGCTGCTCTAGCGTGATCAAGCCCAAGCACGCAGAGCAAAGAATATGCCCATCAAAATCGGAAATGAGTCGACTGCAACCAGAAATGCACGGGCGAGCCGTCTTTAAAAAGACGTGCCGCGTGCGAGCTCTTTTGTGAGAGGAGAAAAAACTCCGCGATGTTGAAGCGAGCAGGGAGAAACACACTCATTGGCAGATCACTGCACAGATCAGCAGGCAATGTGAACTCGCTGCAGATCGCCGTCACACCAACACCGGAGAGAGGGGCTCGTCTCGTAGAGTGAAGTCAGAAATGGCTGTGGAGTGAAGAGATACTCTTGGCTCCGAAGCGAAAACATGCCTATTTGCTGCCAGCGTTCTCCTTAAATACCCACGAGGTGAGGCGGTGTTACGCTATGCAAATTCCGCAGACCCATGGCATTTCTTTGCCATTGGCTCGTTTTATATTGTTTGAAGCTGATAGGCTTTCTAAGCGAAAATCCCATTCGTCGTCATCCGACGGAACTCGGAGTGACAACGAAAGGGAACTGGAAACACCAGCACAGAAACACTGACTATTTACGTTCATTTTTCATGTTAATAACTTTAGAAATGTGAGCAGCACTTGTTTGTTGTGGCAACTGTGTGTCATGTGATGTGCATGTGAAGAACACTGTCAAAAAAACATTTGCTCATCAAGGCTGCATTTATTTGATTAAAAATACAACAAAAACAGTGATATTGTTACATATTATGAATTTCAAATAGCTGTTTTCTATTTTAATATAATTTAAAATGTATTATATTTCTGTGATCAAAGCTGAATTTTCAGCATCATTACTCCAGTCTTCAGTGTCACATGATCCTTCAGAAACCATTGTAATGTGATGATTTGATGCTCAAGAAACATTTCTGATTATTATCAATGTTGAGATTGAGATTTTTCAGGATTCTTTAATTAATAGAAAGTTCCAAATAACAGCATTTATTTGAAATATAATCATTTGTAACATTATAAATGTCTTTACTGTCACTTTTGATCAATTTAATTCATCCCTAATGAATAAAAGTATTGATTTCTATTATTTTTTCCCCTCAAAAAAAATAAAAATTATAATTCTTACTGACCCCAAACTTTTGAACGGTTGTGTTTAATGTTACAAAAGCTTTCTATTTCAGATAAATGCTCTTCTTTTGAACTTTCTATTCGTCAAAGAATCCTGAAATAAAAATGTAAATAATTGTTTTCAACATTGATAGTAATGCATGTTTCTTGAGCATCAAATCATCACATTACAATGATTTCTGAAGGATCATGTGACACTGAAGACTGGAGTAATGATGCTGAAAATACAGCTTTGATCACAGAAATAAATTACATTTCCCTATATATTTACATAGAAAACAGCTGTTTTAAATTGTCATAATATTTCATAATATTACTTTTTGTATTTTTAATCAAATAATGCAGCCTTGGTGAGCAGAAGAGACTTCTTTTTAAAACATCAAACATCTTACCGATCCAAAACTTAGGACTGGTAGTGATGCTGTGTGAGAATTAAAATACAGGTAAAGAAAAAAACACCCCTGAAAGTCACTCAACACATTAATATGTGATTTACATGTACAAGATTTCCTTTTAAACATAATGACTCACCATAAACAGAAACAGTGAAGATCTTCTCACTGAATCTGCTGTCGCTGATGATGATCTCTAGTGTGTATTTTCCAGAGTCTGAGATGGTGTTCATGATGGTCAGAGATCCAGTCTGATGATCCAGCTTCAGTCTGCCTCTGAATCTCTCATTACCTTCATTACACTGAACATCTGTACAGATATAACTGAGATCTCCAGTGATGCGAGCAATGTGAATGCCATTATAATACCATCTAATACTGTCTTGTTGGTTTGTTTGAACACCAGTGTTTAGAGTGACTGAATCTCCCTCCTTCACTGACACTTCTTCTGTATCAGCAAACACACCTGAAGAAGAAACAATTAACATTAGCCCAAAAAAAAAGCATAATAGTGCTGTAAAAATTTTTTTTTTTTTTTTTTTTAGATTATCAAAGTCAAAGTCAAAGTCAGCTTTATTGTCAATTTCTTCACATGTCAAGACATACAAGAGATCGAAATTACGTTTCCTCCATCCCACGGTGTACAGACAATATACTGTATGCAGTCAATATAATAGTGCAAAAGTGCAAATAGTGCAAAAAGTCTGTTGTTCCAGTGTGCAATGTGCAATTTATGCATACAGTCAATATAATAATAGTGCAAAAGTCAGTTTTCAGGACAAACAGGACAGCAACAGCAACGCAAGTCCAAAGGATGTTATGTAACTGGGGGGAGAAGGGGAAGAGAGTTCAGCATCCTAACAGCCTGGTGTATGAAGCTGTTGGTGAGTCTGGTGGTGCGGGCACGCAGGCTTCTGTACCTCTTACCAGAGGGCAGTTGCTCAAACAAATTGTGAGCGGGGTGGCTTGCATCACTCACAATTGTGATGGCTTTGCGAGTGAGGTGGGCGGTGTAAATATCCTTCAGGGAGGGGAGTGGGAGTGAGGCACCAATTATCCTTCCAGCTGTGTTCACTATGCGCTGCAGGGCCTTTCTGTTGTAGTCAGTACAGCTTCCGCTCCACACAGCAACACAGCTGGAGAGGATGCTCTCAATGGTGCCTCGGTAGAATGTGATCATGATGGCTGGTGGAGCACCTACCCGCCTGAGTTTCCGCAGGAAGTACAGGCGGCGCTGAGCCCTCTTTGCCAGTGATGCAGTGTTGGTGGTCCAGGAGAGGTCTTCACTGATGTGAACCCCCAGGAATTTGGTGCTTCTCACTCTTTCCACCACAGCACCGTTAATGGTCAGTGGCAGGTGTTGGGTGTGGTCTCTCCGGAAATCAACAACAATCTCCTTAGTTTTGCTGACATTCAGCAGGAGGTTGTTGTCCCTGCACCACGTGGTCAGAAGGTCGATCTCCAACCTGTATTTGGTCTCGTCGCCCTTGGTGATAAGACCTACTAGAGTAGTGTCATCAGCAAATTTCACTATATGGTTGTCGCTGTAATTTGCAGTGCAGTCATGCGTCAGCAGGGTGAAGAGCAGCGGACTGAGCACGCAGCCTTGAGGGGCCCCCGTGCTCAGTGTGATGCAGCTTGAGATGTTATTTAATAATAGTGCAAACACGTACCACTAGTGCCACTAGTACCAATAGTGCCAACACGTACCACTTGAGGCCTCTGGCAGAGGAAGTCCAGTAGCCAGTTGCAGAGATAAGTACTGAGTCCCAGTTTGTCAAGCTTGCAGATTAGTTGTTGTGGTATTATTGTGTTGAATGCAGAACTAAAGTCTATAAACAGTAATCTCACATATGAGTCTCTTTTTTCCAGATGGGTGAGGGCTGGGTGGAGTGTAGAGCAGATTGCATCCTCTGTCGACCGTTTGGCACGGTATGCAAACTGGAACGGGTCCAGGGTGGGGGGAAGAATGGATTTGATGTGTGACATGACAAGCCGCTCAAAGCACTTCATGATGATGGATGTCAGTGCCACGGGGCGGTAGTCATTTAAGCATGATGGAGCAGTTTTCTTCGGCACAGGTATGATGGTGGCAGCTTTGAAACATGATGGAACGATGGCTTGCTTCAGGGAAGTGTTAAAGATGTTTGTGAAGACATCCTTCAGCTCCTCAGCGCAGTCCTTCAGCACACAACCTGGGATGTTGTCTGGGCCTGCTGCCTTTCGGATGTTGATAGCAGCAAATGTCCTCTTCACGCTATCGGCAGAGAGGCACAGAGGCTGCTCATGTGGAGGAGGAGGGATCTTCTGTGGGCAGGTGCTATTTTGTGCTTCAAAGCGAGCAAAGAAGTGGTTCAAATTATTGAGCAAAGGGATGTCGCTCTCACAGCTCTGTGGCGCGGGCTTGTAGTCCGTGATGGCCTGAATGCCCCGCCATAGGCTTTGTGCGTTCCTGCTGTCTTTGAAGTGGGTGGTTATCTTGTGAGTGTATTTCTTTTTTGCTTCCTTGATGCCACGGGACAGGTTGGCTCTCGCTGTTCTCATGCCAGCTTCATCCCCAGCTCTGTAGGCTTTGTCCCTGGCTCTCAGCAGCCTGAGGACATCTCCTGTCAACCATGGCTTCCAGTTAGCCCGAGTAATGAGGTCTTTTGTGTGGGTCACATCGTCAATGCACTTGGGGATGTAAGAGGTTACAGTGTCTGTATACTCCTCTATGTCTGTCTGGTTATTGTAAGTAGCTGCCTGCCTAAACATTTCCCAGTCTGTTGTGTCAAAGCAGTCTTGAAGAGCATCAGAGGCTCCCTCAGGCCACACTTTTACCTGCTTGCGAACCGGTTTGTTTACTTTCACTCTTTGTCTGTATGCGGGCATTAGCATAACAGTATTATGGTCAGAGAGTCCAATGTGGGGGAAGGGGGTGGCTTTGTATGCTCCTTTGCGTGTAGTGTAAACCAGGTCCAGGATGTTGTCTCCTCTTGTTGGAAAATCAACATGCTGGTATAGCCTTGGAAGAACAGTTTTAAGATCTGCATGGTTAAAATCTCCAGCGAAGATGATGAAGCCGTCTGGGTGTGCCGTCTGTTGTTCACTGACAGCCTGGTACAGTTCCATAAGAGCCGTGCTCCTATCGCTGTTATTGTTAGTGGGGGGGATGTATACTGCGACTAGCAAAATCGCGGTAATTTCCCTTGGTAGGTAAAAAGGACGGCATTTTATGATCATAAACTCCGCCAGTGGTGAGCAATGTTTGCTTACCACTACAGTGTCCCGACACCATTCATCACGGATGTAAACACAGATTCCTCCTCCTCGTGATTTTCCTCCCTTTACAATGGCCCTGTCTGCTCGATAGCAGGCTAGCTGCTCCAGTTGTACAGCAGAGTCGGGAATGTTATCATTTAGCCAAGTCTCAGTGAAGACGAGCACACAGCAGTTACTTACTGTCCGGTTCATTGATCTGAGCAGTCGTATATAATCCATTTTGTTGTCCAGTGATCGTACATTTGCCAGGAGAATGGATGGTATGGCTGGGCGAGTTGGATTAGCCGCTAGCCTGGCCCGGACGCCTCCGCGCTTGCCCCTCTTCTGCTCCCTCGCACATCGCTTCCGACGCTTTCTTTCCGGGAGGGGAGTAGTAGGCGAGTCCGGTGTTGTTGCAGGCCGGAGTCCGAGTTCCCTTAGCGTCTCTGTTGCAAAGTTCAGACCACTGCAAACCTTCCTTTTGCAAATATCCAATAGAAACTGCCTGCTGTACTTGTAGTGCGACGTAGTAAAACGAGACGAACACGTAAAACATTCGGACAAACACTTTTTAAACGAACAAAACACCGTTCTGTTGGGACAGAGAGATGTCGCTGCGTGTGCACGCGCTGCCATGTTTACATGTTACAGTATAAGAGTAAATTATGAGTAAATGTCTGGATTATAATGTAACACAGAAGAACATCATTGATTTACACTTTCACTCATCAGACAAAAATACACGAGTCTCATGGAGGATCTTGAATGAACATCATACAACACATGAATATTATGAGTACCCTTGATAATACTTCAGGAAATTGTGCCATTTGCCAAAACATTAAGATACAATGGAACGTTTTATATATTAATCGTTAGGGGAGTGCGGGGCACAACATAACGCGGGGCTAGTTGTAACACACTTGTTTTAAATACTTCCACACATGATGCCAGCACGAAACTTGGTGCATTTACTAGTTTCCATATCAACACTATATAGAGAAAAAAATGCGCCAAAATTCAGAAATCTTTGTAAGATATCACTGAACATTTATTTAACCATAGCAAAAGTACTTTTTTTTTTTTTAATTCATCTCTATTTTTTGTTTATTTAAAATTAGACAAATCTGATATTATTTTAATCTCCAATCTGTTATTTAACAGTTGAGATAGTTCTTTAATGCTTCGCTAACTAGAAGACACTAGCAGGGTTTAAATCACAGTTGTGCAGCTGGGGCATGTTGTCACACTGCGTTACAATGAGCCCATATTAGAAATATGCTATTATATTCTATACTTTTATGAATTCTATTGAGAAAACATGAGAAACATGTAAATAAAGACTGAGAGTCAATGTTCAGAAATTATTAATTATTATTTTGTTTTGAACGATGCTGTATGGCTCTGTTTTCCGGTGTGTTTGTTGTCAAACTCCAAAATTAGTTTATTTTTAATTATTAAAAAATGCCATTATTTTACATGAAAAAGTTAATTATTGCATTTTATTAAGAAAATATTTTGGTTTGACTTGTATATATATTTTTGATTAGATTAGATAGCATTTTAAGCTGTCATATGGTGATGTTACAATGTTCCCCTCACATGTTACAATACCCCACCCTATGGGGCATGTTGTCACATTTCACTTCCATTCTTTCGGGGTAAATTAAGAAAATAGTATACTGTATTAATAAAACAAAACCACATAATTGTACTAGACATGTAGGAAATTAATGTGGAAAAATATTAATACTCTAAACCCTAAGTAGATTTACACAAACTGAGAAAGTCAAAAAGCGTTAGGCTACGTTGTGCCCCGCTCTCCCCTATAATTTTTACTGTTTCAATCTTACACTTAAATAACATGTTTTCATTTACACTTTTATTCATCCAAAACAAAGCGACATTGTGACTCAACGGTGCGAGAACATGTTACT